TAAAACCAAAACCTCAAACTCTCGGCTAACTTCACTCCTTGGGGTATCGAGCATACTTTCAGATGATCGATCAGAGTAAATGGATAGCCCGCCTATGGAAGACGGAAGCGTTGATCGGTGAGAGGGAGCTAATAAACAAAACTAAGCATACGGCCACTGACACCAAAATATAACCCGAACCAAAAAACTGAACGGTACTATTTCTACGCACCTTCTACGTGAGATGGATGCTGCTGCGTGAAGGAAGTACTGTCTTCATCAGTTTCCTTTTCCAAACGACAAGCACGGCATAGGTTATACACCCACTCTTTCATTTTCTGAAAAAAAATCAGTATCAATTCTCTGATAAATATGAAGTGCCACGAAAAGCTTACAGATGCACTTCCCAGAAAATCTTTCACGACCCGCAATAATTACTGATTCAAAATAGGACGTCCGAGAACACAATTGGGTGATAGTTTCTCAAAGTCTTAGCTAGTCATAAGTCAGCACACGATTTGAAAGTAGGATGAGGTTCCTTTTCTTACTGCACTACTACCGCGACATTTTTCGATAGCCGACGTATGCGCAGCGCTTGTTCACACTCACCGCAGCGTGCTGCCCGATGGATACGGCTATTTCATTTATATTATGCGCGTCTCTTCTCTTCTCCACCACACCCTCTCACCATGTCTCACCAGTACGGCTCTCTGCTCTTCGGCTGTTTACGGACTACTTGATTTTTCCTCAATGGTCCTGCCGCGATGGCTAGAGCACAGACGATTAGAGAACGGGTGAATGCCCTAGGACTAAGCCTTGAGGGACCCGCGAGAGAGCGCAGAGGCGGTTTAAAGGGCTGAGTTCAAGTAGTCCGTCGACCGCCTCGTACACGCCCGCTGCCTTTGGGTACGAGAAAGTCACAGAGCCATGGGCTAATAATCTCCAGGAAAACTAAGTTCAAACAAAAAAGGATGGAATGGAAAAAAGGTATTTGGGTGCATATTTTGAAACACTATAAGCCGTCTTACATTCCAACATGGCCATCTCTCCTCTCGTACGCGCTCGCCTTGGCCATGCCTTTGGCTACGAAAAAAGTCTGAACCGTGGGCAAATAATCTTTAGGAAAACTGAGCTGGTACAAGAGGAATCAGAAAAAAGGCAATTGGGTGCATTTTTCGCAACACTACATGCCCACACAACACTCTCAGTTAGGGATCTCTTCCCTCTCACTGTGAAAACATAGCTGAACACATCTATCATTTTGTTCTGCATCACCTCAGGGTACCCGTGGCGATTTTCTAACCCTGACCATTAGTTCGCGGGTCGAATAAACAAAATACTTATCACCAGCCTCGATCTAGAACAATTTCTTGTTTGCTCATAAGCTCAGTTTCAACATACAAATGTATATATAAAATCTAACGAAGGCGAGTGGGCTTTCGAATGACGTAACATCAGAAATGACCAGTAAGACCTTCAAAAGCCCATGTCCAAGAATAGCGAAAAATTTGCCAAATATTGCTATACAGACGGGCCTTGAACAAAAAAAAACGATCAAAAAAAGAAAACTCAAGAATAAATAGGTGAGTGAATACTAGACACTCACCTCCTCAGATTCTGACACAAAGTAAAGTGGTGTTTTCTTTTCAGACGATGTTCCTTTGGTAAAATATAATGAAAATATCCACTGAAAGCCACCAAAACGTGATGTTGTCGCACAAGAGGAATCCGCTAATTGCAAATGAGAATCGATCTGAAATCAAGAACATGGGATAAGGCTCTGATAATCAATCATCCAGCAAAGCTGAACGATGAATTCAGAGAAGTTAACGAATCTCACTTGGACACAGCGGACGAGATCAAGCGACTTTCTAAGCCGCCTCTTATCTTCTTTTCGAAATTCATCGAGCACATACGTTCCCAGCTTCTTGTCACAAATTCGTAAGACAAAGTACCGGCGAACCCATTTCGACTGAAAATGTAATAAAATGAAGCTCTTAAAATTAAGCTCTTAGAAAGTGAACATCTAACAACAGCCCAAATACCTTAAACGGTGGAAAATGCATGCCGCGTTCTCTCGATCGTATAAGCCATCCTTCCATATAAATAGAATCTGTCATCTGAACTGACAAGATATGTTATGGAGATCCATTAAGAGATCCTTAAAGTGGATTAAGCTATGAAGGATAATTGAGCTCGATTTGAGAATAGCACTTTTTCTCAGAAGTTATATAAGAACTCTTTGTTGAAATCAATCCCAAACCTTTGACTAGAAAGGGATCATTCGATCAATACCCATTACAATTTAGCTCGCCGTTCAACTTTTGCTTTAAAAGCTCAGAAAGCTTTGTAAGATCAAGAACCGAGACTTGCAAGAACATATAAGATTTGGCGTTGAGTAAGCAGTAACGTTTAAAAAAGCTAAGACAACGTTTGACTGCCATTTCTGACCAAGGGCTGTTCAAATGTGACTTCACTTGGACCTGCGTGAGCGGCGCTCTTTAAATGCGATTAAAACTAGATAGAGTTTAGACAAATTCCAAGAACCGATCACACGATATCGCACGAAGGAACAAATGATTTTCTGCCAGGATTTCGCCTCTCAAAAGGGTATCTGACGGACTACTTGATTTTTCCTCAATGGTCCTGCCGCGATGGCTAGAGCACAGACGATTAGAGAATGCCCTAGGACTAAGCCTTGGAGAGGAGAGGGACCCGCTAGAGAGCGCAGAGGCGGTAAAGGGCTGAGTTCAAGTAGTCCGTCGACCCACCAAGTTAGCAGTCCATATTAAGATGGATATGAAGGGCATTCGTAGCACGCCGACCGAAATAGCACAACACATCCTAGTTGGGGTCCTGTTTAGGTCAACAAACAATTCACCTTCTCTATGAGTCAAACACACTGGATTAAGCAACGGATGACATTCTCGAATCATTGCTTCGATCGAATGTGTATGCGGGTTTTTACGATTTGAAAGACACAACAATTTATTTTACTTTTTAAATTCAAAAATTTAAAAAGTAAAATAAATTGTTGTGTCTTTCAAATCGTAAAAATTTTATTTTTAAATTTAAATTTTTAATTTTTATGAAAATTTTATTTTTAAATTTTTATTTTTAAATTTTTTAAATTCAAAAATCCTGTGTCAGCCCTTCAGTCCGTAGATATGTCCATCTTTTTGTCAATGACTTGATCCGCTTAATGCTCTTCTCAAATCAGATTATTTGATCAGGGGAGGGGTTGAGCGATAGCAAAAGTGGAATTTCACAGACTAAGTTATCAATGCTTCATGATATAGTGATTATGAGAACACTCTCAGCTTTGGGTTGTCCAGGAATCCGCGCGACGCTCCAATCTTTTTCGGACATTCTTTTGAACGAGACTTCGATAAATAAAGCCATCACTATTAACCTTAATGCCGTACCCATTTTTCGAGCAGCTTCTCAGTTGTTGCTCAAATTTTGGCGATCGCTATGAAAAGAAGCATCAATCTCATATTCAGAATGACGTCGATCAATGGATTTTTTCTAGGTACGCTTCAACGCATTAATTACATAGTGGTGGAAGCTATCCCGACACAGGCCAAGCACTGTGGTTTTCCCAGCCATAATTCGCGCCTTTTCAATTTGTAACCTTCGCAAAATGCAGATGCGCGCTGTTGTGGAGTAGGAAGATGATGAGCTTCGGGGTTTGTCTTCCGCATATCATCGGGTGTGGTCTGCTAGGGCAGAGAACGACCTTTTCGAAGAGCAAAATGTCGCTTCCCGTCCTAGCAAACCCCATTCCTTATCATGAACCAATTCTTAGAGATGATTTAGTTGACAATGGGAATCACTATGGTGCAGGTATCCAGCAGCTTTCTATAGAGCATCATTTTGCAATCCTGGAAGACCTCTTTCTACAAAACCTGCTTTTGTCTGTAGGCAGCCTGTTTCTATGGCTTGGATAAATCGAGTATTGCTTACGTGAATGATGAGTTCAGTAGTGCTTATTTGAA